CGATGTTTCAAATTATTTTTATTTGTATCTTTAGTCAACACCCGTTTACCTCATTTACTGCACTAGGTCGCTCTTAACTTATAACTTATTCTGTCCTCACCTTAACTCCTGTGAAAATGTGATTTGCCCCACAAGTGTGTAACAAAACGGTGCACTTGGTAACACCAGCAGTATTGAAGAAGCTGAATACGAGCTCATCGAACTCGAAACAGAAAATCGTGTATCATTGTTTATTTGGGGATCTATGATTCTATTTTGTAGCTATGCTGTTTCACTATTATTGGTCATCACCAGCCCGATTTAAGCACTAATATGATAGTGTACGCGTCACGCTTGTAATTAGACAGTGTAAAAGGACTGCTAAAGGGGCACTTCATGCCTGTGTAAGTGGACAGAAAGCGTCATATGCGCGCGTTATTGTCGCGCATTTCGTCGAGTTAATTGTTTTTTTTTTTTTTTTTGAGAAAATGTATAACCGATGTCTAGTTTCTTTCACGAACTTTGTCATAGTTTTGATTAATTGGTAACAGGACTTCGCGTCGTCCAATTCTGTCTGTAACCATACTCGTCATTAAGAAATAGGACTCCCGCGGTCGCTCGATTTTGCTAACCACTCGTATGATTACAGATCGAATTAGACTCCACTCGGTCCTATTAACATTATAAATTATTTCATTTGCTTATTACGATACTTTGCCTGTTTGCCTGAACCGTTTGATTTCTTGCCTGAGGAGAGGAAATTTGAGAGAAAAGCATCTTGATAATCAGATACACGTGTACTCACATTTAGAGACTGACTTCTTTCTGTTCTTTTCCCAGTCTCTCAGCCAGTTCATCAGCTTGCTCATGTTGCTCTTATTACCCAACTGACTAATAATCTGTTTCACTGCGCGAGGCCGATATTTGTCTACCCATAACAGACTTGGTTCTCTTGCACAAAAACAAAGATCAGAGGCGAAAAAAAAAACCTTTACTATCAAAATCTTATGTAGAGGTGTGGGTGACTGGACAGAGGGAAAAAGAAGAGTTAGCGGCAGATAGAAAGACAGTAATTGGATGAATGTAAACACACAAAAGAGCAGACAGACAGACAGACAAACTGAGTAATACTTTAAATTTGCCACCGAAAAGAGTTTTTTAAGTTGATGTACATTATGTATAAATAAAATTAGCATACTGGAGTGCCCAATGCATTGTGGTTAGAGTGGTAACCACCAAAATGGCTGACAATTTCCCGTGAAGTTCTTCGTTGAATACTTTTACCGATGTCTTTTCTGAACCTAGCCCTCCTAACAGCTCTAGAACGGCTCAGAAAGAGCCGATTGTGCACTCAGAGAATTTATATCATGCTCATTTAGGCAGCCAAAACGATGGGAATAGCTCCATAAGAGAACCGCTTCGAGAGATAAACGACAACAACACCAGTCCTGATTGTAGTACAGCTACCGCGTGAGGTAGAAGTCTGAAAAGCATGCCGCCATTCGGAGAAAAACAAATTGACAATCGACTAATCCACAATTCGAAGACCATGCCCGACCTAAAAGCGCCATAAGCGTACAGACATAAAAAACAAGGCTACAAACTCTGGAAGGAAGGGTATGTTCGAAAAGTTGTTACTAAACCTGACATTCTCTCTGGGGTTAAACGGCTTTTTCTGGTTAAAGCTAATGTTTCTGCTTCAATGAAGCGACAGAACTATTTGGTATACTGTCATCTAGACCAGCTATCTGGTGAAGTGGCTTTCAGTAAATGCAACTGTAAATCTGGTCAAGATGGTGGCTGTAAACACGTTGCTGCACTGTTGTATCTTTTGCTTGACTACGAAAATCTCGAACTAAAAGAAGTCACAGATGATATGACTTGCACTTAGGTGCTCTAGCAGTGGAGTATTCCATCCAACTCTGGTACGACAAAAGCGGTCAAGTTTGAAGAACTGACTTTTGAGAAAGCTGATTACGCTAGAGACAAAGAAAACAAAAGAAAGCGTCCACTGGTCCAAGGAAAACGAGAAAATTATTGTTCTACTCCACCATATGCAAAGAAGGTACTAGATTTTTATGTATTTATTGTTTTGTGGAAAAAAGTGATTATAATGTTGGCATTGCCAAAGGTGTTTTGTTGTATTTATATATTGCATATTTTTTTCTGATAGTGTTTCATTGGTTTGATTGAATAATTTTTCTGTTCTTTAGGTTCAAACTGATGAAATAAAAGCTTTATATAAATCTTTACAAAAAATGGTGAAGCTCAATTATTATGCGCAACTTTGATCTGTAATGACTTTTAACCAAACAGCACTTTTGAAACAAACTGTACAGTTCAAAAGAAAAACCAAGAAAAATCTGATGATAGTTTTAAACGAGATTTATTATTTGAAAATATGCCATAGTTTGATGTTGAGCTGAATGTTTCACCTGACACTCTACAACACATTGATAACAATGTTGGTGTTAGCAAAAATGAGGCTGTGGCCATCGAGGTCTCAACTAGACTTCAACGAAAAAGCAAAGATTGGTTTAAGGAGAGACAAAAAAGATTGACATCCTCATCATTTGGAAGGGTGAGCAATTGAAGGGAGAGTATTGCTCCATTGTTCCAGCAGCTATATCAGAAACAAAAAAAATTTTCTACAAGGAACAGATTGCATGAACTTGTGTTAATGAGCAGCTTTCTTCAGTTCCATCAACGGTTCCTTAGTGGCCAGTACCCAACAAGGTCTCGACTGTTGCACTTGAGGGATTGAAGGTCTTAACCTTTTGATCTTTGTTTTCGGTGAAAACAATGTTGCCCTCATAACCATACAGCCTCTTGATTTCCTAACAGGAATCTGAAGAATTCCGCAAGAGTCGCTCAACATTGGCAGAATCGAGGTTACAACCATATAACCCTCCAGCTGCGCCAGTTGCAGCCAAGTATGCTGATTGCCGCAGAACATGAAGAGATTCAACACTTGTCACGTCACTGGAGTAGTTCATCTGTCTCAGCCTACTACCGATGATAGCCACTCCATTGTACTCTAACTCCAGCTGCATTATGCTTCTCTGCTCATCATCGGGCACACAAGAGGATATCCTTATTTGCCGCACAGATGGAAGTTGGTTTTCTTAAAGGTGGGGTTAATCTGGACAATTTGTTTATTCTCGACTTGTGCAGCTAAAGATCTCAGATGTGTCGTCAACCACTTCTGTAGAACTGGACCTGTACCCTCAAGTGACAATCTGAAACGACCAAGCCGCGAAAGCAAATCAGCTCGCGATTTTAGGCGTCCGGGTTTGAAAAGTACTTCGCCTTTCAATTCAGTGAAACGGATTGCTGATGAGCCTCTCTCTGCAGCAAAGACTACGCCATTGGTAAAGCATAGGTCCCGCGCATCCTTGAATACTCCCTTCGAACATTTACATCGACTGGTCGGTGTAAACGCAGTTCTACGAGACTATCGAGAGTCGAAATCGCAGTCTAACGCCAGTACTTTGCCTTGGGACCCAATTTCAAGTGCAGTTGGTCTTTTGCAAACACTACTTTGGTTGGATTTCCAGAAGTGATACTTTTCAGGAACTATTGTGTGGATTACCAAACGTATCCCCTTAAGTACATCTAGTACTGAGGGTCTAGTAAGGCGCATTATCGGTTCTAAGGACAAGAGCATTTCTGCTTTGGCTCACTGTTCGCGAGTGATTTTCTTGATTTTCTTGCAGAATTTAAAAGAGCAGACTAAATTTGAAAATGCTTTAAAAAAACCTTGGGGTCTCCTTTCAAACACTAAACAGTTTTTTTTTTCAAGAACAGTAAACATTAAAAAAATGGCCAATTTAACAGTAAACACTAAAAATTATGGGCAAATAACACTAAACCGTCCAAGGGTTTGAACACGACTAAATACTTACATGGCAGATTTTCCTGGCAAGCAGGAACAATATCTGCTCTTAATCACCCTCCCTTCTCCGGTTATAGAGTGTTATAAGAATCTGCTCATTTAATAAGTCAAAACGTTTTTAAAAGGAGTTTTCTTTTTATTAAAAAAACAGTAGACAAGAACTTATTTGTACCCGTAACGCCTTTTGGCTGATTCAATTCAAAACGAGAAAGTTTTTCTCATTCCACACGCGGCCCCCTTTCATTGGCCACCTAACCATCAAATAATTCGTTCCCTGTTTTCCAGGCCATTCTTCGCCAAATGGAGCCAAAAGAGTCTAAGAACAAGTAAATGAAATCTCCTTGCGGAGTTCTACTATGTGTAACGCGTTTCGCGCAGCTGCAAAAGTAGCAAAATGCGCATTCTAACCATGTTTGTTTCCATCGCGGACAGCAAAGTAACTCAACTAGAAAAAATTGTATTTTTATTTTTCTTTTCACTCATCTCACTATTGACTTCTTCGTTGAATAAATAAAAAAATAAAAAGATAACTGTGTAGCCTACCTGAAATACCACACAGAAAAATTGTTCGATGATTTATAAACGGTAGTCTAGAGTTACTTCAATCAAGTACTTGTTATTGTTCTAATTTCTTTAGTAATTTTCCTGTTAACACGGTTAGTGAAACAACTCGGACTCGTCGTTTTTCCTTCGAGTTATCAATAACCTACAGGGGTCTTCGTGTTTGTTCAGATTGATTCTTACAACAACTACTTTTTCCCCGCTTCATATGAAACTCGATCCGTAAAAAGGAGTCTAAAACGAACTTCAAATGCCCAAAGGTCGTGTTCAAGAACTGGAGTAGCCCACGAAGGCTTTCATTATCATCGCTGGAGGACGCCCGTTTCTTCGCTCGCAAGAAGATTTGAGATGAGTCAGGGGGAGGTTTGCCGGGGTTCTGGCACCTAACTACCAACGCCAGACCCCTTGCAGACCTCTTCGCTGGCTTGCGTTGTTCAAGGCCTCCTACTTTTGCGCGGGCGAAGAAACCCTCGTGCTGAAGTGATAATACTGAGGGCCTGGTGACAAGCTAGAATGGAATGGAACATGATATTCCCGTAGTTGAGCCAACATGTCTGACAGCTGTTCACCCTCTTTCAGGTCTCATCTGTTTTACCATCTTTCTCATCATATCCCTGGGATTAAGAGTCGCAAAGAAGAAAATTATTGAGATACAGCAGGGAGATACGGCAGCCTAATGCAAAGAGATGTAAATGAGCGGACCTAATTTCAGTTCAAGAATCATCCATACCTTATCGCGTTAAGCTTTTCTTCCACTGATTCCCAAGGATTGCGATCTTCACTGAATTCAAGGAGCTCTACAGCAATGTAAATATGAGCACGGAAAATATTCAGTTTTCTTAATAGTGTAAGTAAACCATTAGGCTGAGAGAGAGTATATTAGCCTTCAGTGGCCAAATAACCAGCTCTTCCCGTCCTCATCTGTTTTCTACTTTGAATCCAAACAAGGATATGCATAATTTGGTCATTAACTTATCGTGTAAATGAGAATTTTACGCGTTCATAGCTGGTAGAGTTTCTATGATATCGAATTTACTACATGGCCGCGGAAATGAAGTTAAACTATTGCCAAGCTAAATATTATTGTAATGGACTCTCGAACAAAATGCTCAACCATAGTCTTCGTTCCAGCCCTTCAATCCATCTCATCGTGAATTTAAGCGAGCTCAAATTACTACAAACCTTCCGCAAGTTTCTTTTCACTGATCCATTCTCCCTCTTTGTAATACTTCACGCGTAAATTCTGCAACGAAGATAAGAAGACAAGTGAAAAGACGCAAAAAAAAACATTCATACATTAACTGAACAGACATAATACGTTTTGAGCTAATTGAAATAATATAAGCAAAATTGAGTATCCATCACTGAAATTTTTCGCTTTTGCAAGTAAAAATTTAGCACATGAGAAACTTGTTTTTCGTGGGGTTCACCGTCTCAGGGGTTAATATCTTGTCACTCACTTAACGCCCCTTCACTTTTTTGCTTTTAATTACTCAGTCTCGCGCACGCAAACTAGCTGCAAACGTGCGAGCACATGCCCATCTACACGAGGACGCGTTACAATGCACGCCAACGCCTCATTCTTAGACCCGTAATCTCTGTCTACGTACCAGAAAAGGAAATCTCTCCATACGAGTGATCTGTAAAATACGATCCACATCATACTCCAGACGGGCGACTTTCTTGGCCTGAATGTAAGTCGTGCTCATCTGTGCAATGAGTATGTTGAGTAAAATCACAAGTACAGTTCCCATGTACGCTAGCATCAACAGAGTGGAGAGCCAACTGCAATAGAACAAAGATTCACAACAATTGCGGTAAAAGTATAGGGATTACCATATTATAACAAAGGGGAAACGCATTGCATATAATACTGATTGAATGAAACAATGTCAGTATCTAAGCAACTACGCACCCCTCCCCTAACTTAACAACATTGAAATGTAAGTCAGGGCTAATGCTGGGTCAGGGGAGGGGTAGGTATACTGTTGATCCATACTGGTCATATAACTGGGTCAGTCACTCACTTGAAGCTTGAATAATCTGCCACAATAGATCGTTGATCAGAGAGAGCAATAACACCGCTCAACAATACATCTCCAAAGCCACTGATTATAAAGAATAGATTTAAAACAACGTAAACAACATTTCTGAATATATGCATGTCGGGTAGACTGAATAATTCTTAATGGCAATTACATTGTATTTCTCCGAAACTGGACGAGCGTTTTCAAAATTTTTCTTTCTGCAGAATAACTCTGATTAAGCTCAAAACAAGAAGGGATAAGAAACAAATAGAAGTACTAGATGCACCTTAATTCTTGGTTTTGATTGGATGAACGGAGAGATAAATATAAAGCCCCACAGAAGGGAAGGAAAATCGCAACAAAAACTGCCATGAATCTTGTCAAGTCTTGCTGAATGATCTTCGCCAAGGTTTTCGTGTATAGTCCTGTAGTCCTGGAAAAGATGTACGTCTGACTAAGATAAATGACCTGGGTTGTATCTCAATCCGGACTTAAAATCGTACCGTAAAACGTCCATGCATTTATAATTAGTATACTGAAATAAAAATTGCTTTCCTAGAGACGCTTATTTTCATCCTTCTAGTGGAGTTAAAAATATTTTTCATTTACTTATCGGTTTGTGTACTGATCGTTAGTCAAGTGCAAGCCCTGTGAACGTTAATCATGTATGTACCACCGAAATACAGCATTTCAAATCAAAGCTTTTATATTTTTTATAAATCACCTACCTTGTCACACATGAGAACTTAAAAATCCTCATGAAATTAAACAAGATAGCTAAAGATGCAACTGTCCATTGAGCTTTGCTACCAGAGAACCGCAAGGGTATTATACACAGGATCAGCAACAAACCTAACCAGTCAAATAGGGTCATCCACTCTGAGAAATAGGAATACCTCTCTCTATAAAAATGAAGCAATAAAGATTAATCACTCCACTGGATCATTTCCATTGGGAGAGCTTTATTCATGAACAAAAATTTTTATTTTTGTAATAAAAATGCTAAATACATGAGTGACCAAGAACAATTTCTCCTTACAATGTCAAAACAATATCAAGCAGGCAAGTGATAAAAATAAAGAAAAATATCACTAAGGGGATATTTATTCACTGATTTGGCACCATATTCTCTGAACTAACATCATAAGAATTTTATGGCAGACAGTAAGAAGAATTACAAACTAATGACATCTTCGGAGTGAAAGGGTTACAGAAGGGTTTTTTCAGAAGGGGAAACCTATTGAACTAACAAACCAATAATTAATCATCTAATGTAAATTATTCTCAATGCATTTAATTGTGTTATCAGCATTAAAAATCACTTACATTCTCATTTGATTCATTTCTTCACATATGTAAAAGATCACCATGACAAGAGTGACAATCTCACAAAATCCACACAACAAGTCTGCTCCACCGCTGTACTGGGTGGGGTCTGGTTTGGTTGAACCATACAGCAGAGAAAATGACAAGAACAGCAGGAAGATGAAATACACTGCTGTTTGAAGGCTGAGTAATAAAAAAGTATGTTTACACATAAATAGCCTAAATTTACAAGGAACAAGATTTCCACAGTATTGAAAAAAAATTTAAAAAGGCATATTCAATCATGCAAAATTGGATATGATGATTAAAACTAAATTACAATTAGGTTATTACTAACAATTAAATATAAAAATTGCTTTTCCTGGTAGATGAAAGAGAATTTATTTAATTTTGGTGCACTACACCAGTGTCTTTAAGTATGTGATCTAAACTTACAAACATCATAAGACAGGTAAAAATTATTAACCTGAGAAAGAAATGTCCATAACTTTTCCATTTTGTCTTAATCAACATTCTGACAGCTGGATGTTGCAAGGCCTCCTGCAATTCAAAGTCCAGTAGAATTTTAGGGTTACTACAAGTGACACAAAATCATATCAATTTAGCTTTAACAATGAAAACAATTTTCCTTAATAAGAACAGCCTTATTTAGGTCTGATTACTCATCCAAAGGAAAGGAAATACCTCAGATACACCACCTAGTCATGTACCTTATTCTTTCTCTTTGCAATCATGTTTAAACATGAGCTGTCTCTCCAATTAAAATATTTGTTATCTGACTCTTGGTCTTGCCCTGACAACACAACTTTTGGAGGTCGCCCTCCTGCATCACCATCCAAGATGGCATAACAAAAATGATAGTTCAATGGATCTTCTGGGATTGTCTTCCAGACTCCTTCAATTCCCTCTTTTTCTTCTTGGGAGACATAACTGTCCTTCCGTTTTGGAAGGTATGGCCAGTGAGGGTTCACCATCTGGTCTAATACAGCCACTACTGTTTCCTGTTAAGATAGCACGTGGCCTTCATTATTCAAGATAAAACTTAACCTAATATTGTTTCATGGTTGTGTAAATATTTTGATGACCTGAAAAACATATTAAATTAAAAAATGAAACAAAAATGCCAGATTTCATAGGTTTATGTATCTATTAATGAAAATTGATTGAAGTATTGAGACACAATCAGAGAAATTCAATTTATTTATAGATAAAGACTTAAGAGTACTGAAGAATTACAACAGAAGACTGCACACTACTAAGACTCTACTGTCATAAATGTGGGACATTGTAGCACCAAACTAAATAATTTGGTCTAACAACACCTTCAAATATATTTATTTCTTGCTTAATTTAAATTTCCAAGTCACTCAAAAACAAAGAGATCCTATTACCTTCATTTTAGGATTGTTGATGATGGAGTTTAAACTGAAGAAAGATGGCTGAGGGTTTGTTGTGTCATCATCTGGTCTCCAAGAAAATAAACTCTGGACACTAATAAGAAGAGAAATTGAACAAAAAAGTTATAAAGTAAAAATTTACTTAAAAGAAATACACTGGATGACTATGTATCACAAGGTTAACAGGTTATTAGGATATACAATGTATAAGATCATTAAAACTCTGACCCTGCTAAAGGAAAGAGTTACACTTAAAAAATTAAGAATTTTCTCAATACATATAGATCCACTTACAAGAGTAAGTTTTTTTGTTACCACATGAATAACACTGAACTATTCAACCAGGAGACCCTTCTTTAGAAATGAGGAATCCATAAAGGAAATTCAAAAGACTTGTTGTGAACAATTTAATATACAATCAGGTACCTGTTAGGCCACATCATCCTTATCAAATATGCAGCCACTCCATCATTTTCTCCTATCAGTGCCAGCTCAACAGGTAACAAGCGCCTCTTTTTAAGTGGTCGTAGCTGCTGTTTTGTCTTTGCAACCAACAGTAATGGACATTTCCTCACAATTGTTTTTGCAACATGTAAAAATCCAAGTTCTGCAGCATAGTGTAGCAATGTTTTCTTTGCTATGTCCTTTTCATCTCTTAATACCTCATAGTGATGATCTAAATTCAAATCACTTTCCAACAGAATCTCCAAAAACTGATTTATCTACAAAAGACATTTCAGCATGACAATAATTAGCTCATTGCAGAATTTATTATTTCAGGAAAAGAAGGAAGGTGTAAGTCATTATAGGGCTACTGAAATATTTAGCCCAAAGGATATGTGCAGTAAAAGGGGTTTGACTCTTTGGAATCATGTGTTAACCTGGGTAAACAATTCTATAATTAATCACTGTGAACAAGTTGACAGTCTCACTCAAACAAAAGCAATAAACAAGGTGTACAGTTGGTGGTGCACAGTTACAAAGAGTGTTACTAAAAATTACCAGATATTTTTTTTTCTTAAATCATACCACACCAAGTTTTCTTAAATAAATAATTGTTCAATCAATGGATAAATTATAATGTCTTCAACAATATAGCAGTAAATTGAACAGATGTTGGCTAAGACAGGTTCTAGATTTAAAGGCATTGGAGGGCACAACTCCTTCCTCCCTATTCCTCTCCACCCCTCCCTCCCCCCTTCACCCAAGTCCACTTCATAACCCTTTATTTATGTACCCTTCCAATCAAAATATAAAGAAATGCTACAAAATTAAACACTGTACTTAATTCAATTGTCGCTTTTTCATTTCACAACTTTAACATGACTGATCAGCAAATCCATGTGATTGACTTACCATCTTTTCAAGGCTTGCCAGTTTATCAGGTTCATTTTTGAAACGTTCGGATAATGGCCACTGTTTTAACATTATCAATGCTGGATCTTCACTATCCAGTTCTCCATTATCCCTGTACCTCTGGATCATTCCTTCAACTTGGACTTCACTCATTGCTCTGTTCCATGGCAATCCTTCACAACGTTTCTTATGAACCTGTCAATTGTTTTATAAATATATATACCGCTCGATAAAGGCTCTTCCCCATAAACTACAGGAAATCACAAATTATCAAGGCTTCCTTGTATTTTCACCTTAATCCAGAACTCTCTCGACCGAGTAGAGTCCCCATCCAGGAAATTTCCTTGTGCATCACCTTCACGCTCATCGTCATTTCCTTCGTCACTTAACTCAAGCACCTCTTTCTCTCTAATCTCTAAATCATTCATCATCCTGTGGCATACATATTCATAAGTTTTACTTACGACAGTGCTGTAATCATTTATGCGGCAGAAACAAAAGGAGCAAGTATTAACCTCGTTAAAATCATTTGGGCAATCGCAAATTGAGTGCGCATGTCACTAATTGGGATCCAGATTGGATTCCAGTCTCCAACGAGTCAGTAAAAACAGTGATCTGGATGCTATTTTCACACGCTTTAGGGAGTTAAGTCTCAAGTACGTAAAATTTGGTTACAGGAGGACGTGCAAAGAACCGGATGACAATTATGAACTACAACGTATACAGTAGAACGACTCCATAGACCACATCATGGACGAGCTATGGATGATTTCATCTTTTTCAATTGACACCCTGGGCGTGGGGTGTTAACCCCGGCCCGTTCCATCAATAGAGGCGAAATAACAAACGAAAGAAACGACATTCCAGCTCTTATCTTTGTCAAACAGAAAGCGGAATAGAACTGTGAATTTAGAAAAGGACTCACAATTTTTTTACCTTGTTTTGTTTCTTCTTTTGTTCGAGCAAACCTCACAAATTGCAAAGGAGAAATATGTCTTGTTACTGGTAGTTTTTTTGCGTGCGTATGTAATTCCGGCGAAAATTTCGCATTTTCGTTGATGCTAATTAATTCATGGTGTAAAATAAAAGGAAGGAATTTTTTCTAGCACAGCCACTGAAATATTTTGCAAGCATTTTACACATTCACTTTTGATATAAACCGTAGCTTTTTAAATGTTCAACTGCTTGCTGCTTGTGACCAACGATCGAAAGGCGGATAGAGTCAGGTTTGTCCTAGTATTTTCGTGTTCCTCTTTCTCAATAACCGCGGTTGTCTAATATTGCGTTTAGTTGCTTCTACACTCACCCAGAAACGTTCGTTCATAAATTTTCAGGGGCTTGATTCGAACGCGTTTATACTCCAGCATGTACCCATCAAACACGAAAATGAAATCTGTTATTGTTTTGAACACTGAAAGCGACAGCTCCAAAGCAGACGTACTGAAGAATTTCTTGCAGGGAAAGCTGCAAACCTTAGCAAACTTGACAGATATCGGAGATATTTTAGTGGAGGAACGGGATTTTATGAAGCAACTACGACGCAGTGATTGTGTCCTGTTGATAGCGTCCCGCCAAGCCTCGCATCTTCTTCAAAACAAACATCAAGAAACCGACGGCGAATTCGTCACTTTTGACGGAAAGATAATATACGACGAGCTGACAGAAAACAAAGAACTTGTCAGGAACAAACTGGTTATGGCTTTCTTGACGGAAAGAATGGCGAAAGATTGGATTCCAAATGGCTTAGATGAGAAAAGAATATTTGATCTGCATAAAGAAAAGATTCACAGAGGTAATCCTGCTTTAACCCACCTTGAATATACCATAAGACGAGTACTGGGAGAGACGATGGTGGACTGGTGAAGAGATACAGCTTCATTCCTAAAATCTCTGAAAGCGACGCCAATTACGGCTTGTGCTTGTTGATTTAGGGTACTTGATCGATGTAATGATAAGCTACCGTAAAAAAATGTATTTTGGTGGTTGATTTCGCTAAAGATTATTCTATAGTTAATTGTATTCAACGAATTAGTATGTAGCTAAAGTTGTGTGTGATCAGAAATTTTCCCTCTTTAAAGACAACTTTGAATGATATGAAATGTTCAAATTTAATAACAAAGAACATATTGATATAAAGACAGTTTAACAAGTGAGCATTATAGCTAGTAAAACAAAATTGCTGTCGTTGTGTGTTTTTGTGCTTTCAGATATATGGTTGGGCACAACGCGCGACAATTTTGGAATGAATTGATATAAAAAATAGATTGTGATGATTTCATGCTAAAGAAGTGTTGGCTCATTCAAACATGATTAGTATGCACGAGGAATTTAGCAAGTATTTGTACCATTTTGTTTGTGTGTGATTGGCACTTTCTTCCTTTTCAAGACTATTATTGGAAGAAGGATGTACGAGGATTGAGGGTGAAAGAAAATAATTAAATTGTTGACAAAATGTTACCTTTTAAAAGTTTTGCACGTCTTATTATGGACTAGACATGTTGTTGGTCGTAAAACAGTGCATGTGAGTTTATCAGGAGGTGCAAATTTACTAACTGGCACCTAACTGACCCAGCGAGCTCTCTCAGGTCATTCCACACCTCATCCTGTTTTTCGTGACAGTGTATAGGTCCAATATGGTAAAAATTGCTTGGAGAAAGATACAGAAAAAGCCTAACAGAACTATTAATTTCCTCCAATAAATGACATCGGCATCGGCTCCCCTCTTCGAATAGTTTCGTTTTTCTGGAAGTAAAATCGACTCGTAATGGTTTCCAGAATAAAACACTGATTTCCCTTTGCTAATAGGGCTTACCACGGCCTAACTTTTGAAATTCTAAATTGAGAACTTTTCATGTTTAAAACAGAGAAAAAAATTAGGTGTTATTCCTGACTTGAAACCTACAGTTCATTTTTCAGTGTGAGGTCGGCCTGCAGAATAGGCGTAACTTTTTTGCGTTTTTCAGTACAACGGAGAGAAGTGCTAGGCGAGCGCGAAGAGCGAGTCACACGTTAGGGGAGGAGGTTTTGCGCTCTTTTGCACTAGCCTTTGGTGTCAGGAAAAACACTCCATTCTATCAAAACCAAATTCGAATCAATTTGTAAGGCCTCAATTTCTTTACTGTTGTTATTTTCCTCGAACTTGCTCTTCTTCATGTTTTTTTTTTTCGCGCTTGGTCTGCCACTTTTTACGAAAACACGACACCATGATATGGAATTTATTTTTTAATGCTTTGATGGCTTTTACTTGTTAGCATGATAAATGTACATATTTTCTGCTGACAAGTACATGTAGAATACATATGTAAACGTATTAGTAAGAGTAGGCTGCATTGGATCGGAACTGCAGCGGAACCTATTACATGAAGTTCTCAATCAGGCCATGGCTTTAACGGCTAACGGGTAAAATTTTGGCCAGCTTACGGCTAACAAACAATATCTTTCCAATGTTTTTCATCAAGACTAACGGTTAAAATGCGTCAATTTTTACGCCTAACTGATAAATTTTTTGGCCGTTTTATGACAAACAGTTAACCCCGTTGAGACTCTTACAAAAGTAGGACTGACAGCGTAGATATCACAGGAATTGCTGGTGGTAGGAAGTACATTTCCTTTCATAAGTGAAAAAATGCAAGGCACACATACAAACTCCTTAAAAAAATTGCATCTAATTCGTGACGCAATTGAAAATTCGAAGCGGCAGGTTAAGTAAGCAGAAGCCACAAAGGAAGTCCTTATCTAAACATTTTTAAAGAAAGGAAGGCTTAAATGATCGGGAGCAGGCAAGTGTTCTTAAGACAAAATGTAACTTATTTCTCGAGATTTAAATAGCAGGAGGAACGAAATAATTGCCTATTAACAACAAAATTATAGGGATGACACAGATTCCGTCCGAAATTTTTAATAGCCGGATTTTGGACTGTATCCGGTCTCGAGTCTTTATACTAAATTTAAATGACCATGTCTAGCTATCTCTACCGCCCATGGTTGCCAGTACAAACATTTCTTTCAAAGATCATGTCCGACAACAGCCGCGCCAGCCAAACATAGTTAACATCGCTCAATAAAATAAGACGATGTACAGGGCTCTGTGGGTGCAATTTGCAACAGCTTTTTTTTTTTTTTCTTTATGTACCATCTAATTACTATGACAGTTATTGTGATCAGCCTGGGTAAGACATATTAACCGTATTTAAACGTAAGTGAAGCACTTAGCCCCGCTGTCAGTTTGCTTTAACTCTTCCGTTTAAAACCGTTTCTTAACTGCTCGATAACTAGCTGGTGAAGAGAGCGGAAAGAGTCAGTCAATGGAAATAGACTCTTTTCGAGTGAAAATAAAGTCCCATTATTTTCTCTTGATCCTCTTCAAGTTGTACACACTCTTTTTTTTTCTTTTAAAGAACCTTTTATATGCAAGCGCTCAGGCTGAGAATAAACAAAATTTTAAGAGCACAGTAAAAACATACCCAGGCTGAGAGTCAGTTAAGAACGACTTTATTTTGCCCATTTTTTTTGTTTTTTGTTTTGTGTGTGTGTGTGTGTGTGTTTGTGTGTGTGTTAGAAGTATAAATAATGATAAATGTCATAAAAGAGAGTGTAAATATCAGGTTATAGAGTTTCAAAAGAATCTGCTCATTTAATTAGTCAAAAAGGGAAACTTGCTGTGCAAATGAAGTCAATAAGTGGGCCGGCCAAAAGGATAAAAAAGAAAAAGGGTGAAAATCAAAATTAGCCCTTGATAATTGAAAAAGCCGCTAGCCTTTCTAAAATTACTTGTTTTAATGGCTATGGTGTTTTAGAAGTAACTTTAACTGTTTGACAGAATGAATATCAAAGGGCATTGCGTAATAACTATATTAGAGGTTTTTTTCTCTTGTGGGTGATGATACGTGCTGGTAAAGCCACGAACTCGACAAAAAATGAGGTCATGTGCGCATTTTAAATAAGGACATGCTTCTGAGGAAACTATTAAGTCAATATTCTTGGGCAATGTAAGGTTTAACGGACATTCAAAGAGAGGTTGACGTTAAAAAGAAATATCTTTCATTGCAAATACAGAAATCCAGGATGAAAGAGGAAACGATCGCTCCTTAACGGCAAAATGATGGCGACTGAAAATTTAACAGTAACTGGCAAACAACCAAAATCATTTGAAGAACTGATATGTTCCCCATCATTGGCAGATGGCTTAAAACAACACGCATCTTATCTTTCAACAGTCAACTTTCTCCTTTCCCTCACGGCATTTCTTGGGAATTCTCTTATCCTTGTTGCCCTTCATAAGGAATCTTCCCTTCATCCACCGTCCAAACTCTTGTATCGCTGTCTGACAACAACTGATGTTTTGATTGGACTTGCTACACAGCCGCTCTATACCATTCATTGGATTTCTTTAGTTCGCGAAGATTGGGTTCTCTGCCGATTTGCTTTCGAT